TCCCCTCCTCCACTAGGGGGGCACATGATGGGGAGAAATGCCTGGCCCGTGAAAGCTTTCTCCAAAGAAAATCTCTCATTTCCAATTATCTGGGCTCTTCAACTTTGACCCTTTATATAAAGACCCTCTAACAAGGGACTAAGGTCTCCAAAAAGGACTTTCTGGACTCCTCTCTTGCAAATCCTGAGAAAGAAAGAAAAAAAAAAGCCAACAACCATATTTATATTTGATATATACTGTTTATAGACCATAAGTAAATTCTGTACTTCCAATTCTGTTGTCAGTAGACTTTTCCTACAAAAAACCAATTCAGTTAAATTCAGAGCCCTTGAAGAATCCCAAAGGAAGATGAGAAAAAATAATACAAAGCGTAAGAGTTGGCCATATATTGGGTGTAATTGGAGGGCCTCACCGATATGAACTGAATCAATATGGACTTAAATGTGACTCATTTCCTCTAAAGCAGTCACCAACATATTTGACACCAGAGACCAGTTTGGTGGAAGACATATTTTTCCATGGACAGGATGGGGGTTGGTTTCAGGATGATTCAAGCACATTTATTGTGTACTTTATTTCTATTATATATTACATTATAATATATAATGAAATAACTATACAACTTAATAATTATCCCACTTAAATGGGAGCCCTGAGCTTGTTTTCCTGCAAACTAGATAGTCCCATCTGGAGGTGGTGGGAGACAGGGACATATCAGGCATTAGATTCTGTTAAGGAATGTGCAACCTAAATCCTTTGCATGTACAGTTCACAATAGCATTTGTGCTCCTATGAGAATCTAACGTTGCCACTGATCTGACAGGAGGTGCTCAGGCAGTAATGCAAACAATGGGGAGTGGCTGTAAATACAGACGAAGTTTTGCTCACTCTACTCATGGTAACAATCTTGTTACGTTTGTCTTGTCTCAGCCGTCTTTTCAACCTGTGTCAGTTTTCACAGTCAGATTTGTAGCTTTAAGACTCAGAGTTTATATGTGTTTTTCTTTCTAGTTAGTGCTGCGTCCATTTTCAGAGAGCTTTCCTTACATTTAATGGTCAGCGAGTTACTCACTCTAAAGTTTGCTCATTCACCTCAAGTTGACTTCAATATATGGCCTAAGGTAAGAAAAATACAAGTAGCATTCACTAAAAAAATTGACAAAATCACATTTTATAGGTGTGTGGGCAACCTTTCCCTCAACACAGTAAAAGTTATAAATGGCATCTGTTCCTAAACTAAGTCAGGGTAATTAATGTGAAAAAAATTTGTTCTGATAAATAACCTCTATCTTTAATCTCTTATTTTGGGAAACATGATCTGCTAAGCAGATTCAAACTTTTTGTTTTACAAGTAGCCTTTTTGTTTTGGCCAGGTGTGGCGCACAGCTGTAATCCCAGCTACTTGGGAGATTAAGGCAGGACTGCATGAGGCCAAGGGTTTGAGACTAGACTGGGTAACGTAGTGAGATCCCTCTTAGAAAACAAACGAACAAAAAGCCTTTTTTTGGCTTAAAATGTAGTCTTGCATTTTTTCCATCTGTATTCCTCCTCCCCCTACAGACATCAGCTGTATGGACAACTGTACATCATTAATAACCATGGGAGTCTTGGCTAAGAAAATGCATATTCCTGGGCTCCAACCAACCTAAAGATTCAGAATTTTTGAAACTGAGTGCTGAGAATAGGCAACAAAACAAGTTCCCCTCGGGAGTTTAGACATAGCCTATTTCTTTTTATACTCCCACGTAGCCCCCAAACATAACGCACAACATGTTAAGTTCTTAATTCCCCGCATCTTGATCATGCTATATATCCATTTGGGTCCCATTCTGCAAGTCTTGACTCAAACATGAATCTCTAAGCCTTTGTAAGAAAACACACAGAACAGGAACTGGCCAAAGCAAACATCCAATGTTAGAAAATGTAAGCACCAACTGAAGATTCACAGGGTTTTAAATTCTAAAATTCAGAATACTAAGAATTAATCAATTAAGACCAGTTAGGCTTGGGCTTTCAAGGAATGAATTCAAATATGATCAAATATTCACATCTCTGTTATCACCTAGGATTTTTGGTTAATAGTATGCTTAAATATATTAACTTGTAACTGCTTCTGCATCCCAGAGACATGTATGCTTGCTTGTCTGGCAAGGTTGGACATCCTGTTAAAATCTATATTCAGGTCTCTCCACTTTGAAAAGGAGCTATAATCAATCGAGGAGATTGTGACTGCTACAAGTCCCATAAAAGTAATTAGTTTCACACTTAGCAAAGAATCCAAGTCTATTTTCCAAGTGCCAGTCTCAGCCACCACATTAATACTGTACATATTTCAGTTCTACCATAGTATTCCCTATATGGTACATGACAGAATACAATAAAGCCAAATTTATCTGTTGACCTTTCCTCTAGAGGAATGTGTAAGACCATCACTGAGCATAGAGCACCAGATAGTTTTCAAAGTCACTCAAAGTTTCACTCTCCATTTGAAGTCTGACTACAAATAATCTAAGATAGCAGCTTCCAAATTGGCTTTGACTTATTTTAAAATATGCATTGAAGCATGACAAGACTGGTGACTATTTTGCAGGAAAAACAGAACAAATTGAGCCCTAAAATTAAGCCACTGGACATATTCTCTTACTCCCCCCATCCTCTATGACTTTAACAGCACGAAGTAACAGCTGTTAACTGGAAAAACAAAGACCGTAAGCCAGAGCTGCAGGAAAGCCCATCGTTTTTAATAATCACACTGCTGCTCCACTTTCTGAAGGACAACTCTCAAGTGACCAATTTAAAAAAAACATACCAGGCTGGGCGCTGTGGCTCATGCCTGTAATCCCACCACTTTGGGAGGCCGAGGTGGGCGGATCATAAGGTCGGGAGATCAAGACCATCACGGTCAACACGGTGAAACCCTGTCTCTACTAGAAATACAAATAATTAGCCAGGCGTGGTGGCACACGCCTGTAGTCCCAGCTACCTGTGAGGCTGAGGCAGGAGAATCACTTGAGCCTGGAAGGCGAAGGTTGCAGTGAGCCAAGATCACGCCACTGCACCCCAGCCTAAGCAAGAGTTGAGACTCTGTTTTAAACAAATTTCAATACTTTACACACAAAAAAATCCTTGGATTTTCCAGTTTCCTGGCACTAGGATGTTAAATTGACAAAAGCAGACATAAAGCCTGGATTTGGGACAATCAAGGCGATAGTTACAAACACATTATTCAAATTCCAAGACAAAAAATCTTGGGTTGGAAATTTTCCTTAATCTATTGGGAGCTACTATGTAGAAAACATTAGTTAATACTAATGGAAGTGTTTTCATTATTCCAAAATCAACCTAGTTCAGATGACTGATGCACATTAAATAGGCAAATGTGCCAAGTTTCAGGTTTTATTTACTTGAATAATAGCGCATCTCTGCTGGGCCCGGTATCTTATTCCTGTAATCCCAGCACTTTGGGAGGTTGAGGCGGGCGGATTGCCTGAAGTTGGGAAATCAACGACCACGCTGGGACAACATGGTGAAACCCATCTACTAAACACAAATTAGCCGGTACGTGCATGCCTGTATGCCAGCTACTCACAGGAGGCTGAGGCAAGTAGAATCATTGAACCAGGAGGCGATTGGCACTAGGGGAACGCACCACCGAGATGCACCACTTCACACCAGCCTGGGTACCAGGACTAACACTCCAAAAAAAAAAAAAAAACTCTTCAGTCTAGCTTGACATCCCTTAGCTATAAAATATGCTTAAAATATAGTATGATTATTTTACTTCCTTGCTTGGGGCAGGAGAAATCAGTGAGTGAGGTAAAATAAAGAGCTGTGAGGGAAAAGGATTGTTGCCCTAGATGCAGAAAGTATCTTTTCTCCTGGAAATAAAGACCCCAAGTCCTCATTGCACTTTTATTTGAATGTAATTTTTGGGACAATTATTCAAAAGGGCCAATATTTCCCAATTTAATCTGAGGTCATAAAAAACAAGCAACAAAACAGTGTTAAGGTTTCAGTTCCTCACCCTTATAATCAAGACTCCACTGCTCCCATCATCAATATTTATGAGCATTTACAGTGTACTAGGCAGCAATAGAACCATACAAGAAAACATTGTCCCTGCTCTTGAGGAGCTTCATTCTAAAAAGAAAAAATACACCTCTTTTAAAATGGCATTTTGTTGGTGTTTTCTGCAAAGTACTGAGAAATATTTTGTAAAAGTGAGCTCTTGGGTATAACTTACGCCCCATCATTATTTAGAGAAGAGAGGAAGAAAGAGGAAGGATTTTAAAGGCAGACAATGACAGACCATTTCAGGATAGGTAGGGTTTTAAAGGGAGAAACACAATCTCATCAACTAGGAGAGATTCGCTTGCAGTAAATAGGATGAGGGAAATAAGTCTGTGGGGTGCAAAGCAAAGAAGCAGGGTGCCTTAGACATTGAGTGGAGCCCAGAAAAGATCATGCGGCCTTTTTCCCAAGTACATGGCCACCAAGTAGGAATGGTTGGTGACAAGACAGAAGGCTAAAAAAGGAAGGTAATCAATCTTGTGCACCTGAACAATAATAGAATAAAGGATCAAAATCGAAGGCAGGCTGTAAGAGTATCAAGAAATTCTTAAAACCAAAAAGTGATTTGGAAGCACAAAACTTATAGTTAAGCTACCCAGTGTCATGATGGGCCAAGAACATTGTGGCTTCCTAAGTTAGAAAATGCCATATACCAAAATTTTAAATGGAATTCCAATCAATCTCCCCTTCTCTCAGAAAAAATAGGAACTCATTTTTTTCAGGGTGGAGAGGAAGAGAGGGGATCATGGGACATGGAAACAGCAGTTATATTAGTATTTTTGTTATGATAAATTTCGTGTTTAAACTTGGTAAAAGCCCATTAGCTGCCAAGAGGGAATAAGGAATAAATTTCAAAAAATGTACAATTTCCTTTAGAGAAGTTTCAGAACCAAAAGACTAATTTACATGAAAAGCTGTAGAGAAAGTAGTTGAAAAGTCCATTCATAAAACTTTTATTCCACTTACATGAATTTAATACACGTGTTCTTAACAATTATGCTTGGATTGTTCATGAAAATTTCATAAGACATTAAACAAAGCTAGCCATCATCTCAAGTTATTTCCCTGTTAACTATTTTTACAGCACATGCATGTTAGGCAAGTATCAAAAAAAAAAGAAAAAAATCACGAAAGCAAAAAACCTAAAAAAAAAGTTAAATACATGGGTTTTTGTTTTACTGCTGTGCTTGATATACATGAAGTAATGAATACCAAGCAATTCATTTTTACTGCATCTTTACTTTTACATTTGTTCTTAGGTTGCCTAAAACATTTAAATACAAATAAAATGAGTGTAGCAAAAATAATGAAAGCTAACAGCAGGTAACTTTACAAATAATGGAATGTGAACCGTTTCTGCCCTTATCCAGAGTCAAATGGGTCACAACTTTGTCGAAAGGAACACTTCTGCAGCTGTAGTCAAAGGTGTGCACATTGAGATTGAGTGTTCCACAGATACACATGGTTTAACCTGTGGTGTCCATGGGGTATGTTTCTACTACAGCCTTCTAAGTGCTCCAGACCTTAAAGTACCCACAGTTACTACACCTGTGACTGGAACCAATGATCCCTTTTATTCCCCACCAGGACAAACCAATATGTAGGCAGTTTTCTTCGCTTAGACATGGAAGCGGTTTTACACTGGCCCTTGTGAAGCCACAATGTACCAAAAGTACTATGCCAAACATTTATAACTTGTATAAAAATTCCACATCCCCATATTGGCCACCTCAAGATGAAAACAGATAACTCCCTAAATGTTATATTAAACATAAAAACCACATGGGAAATATAGAAATTCAAATAGAAGTAACATAAACCTGTCATAAATCGTAAACAAAAAACTATTTGTGGGACAGCATGGATGACAAATGGTCTACTGTGTAAATTTTAGAATGAGGCAGACAAAAGTTGGAAGGCCGGTTAATTTTCCCCTCCTTCTCCTGCTTCAGCTTCGTCTCCTTGGGTATCCGATGTCCACAACTGGTAAAAGAAGGAAAGATTTTTCAGCAAGTTTCAGTGGGATTGGGGGGGTGGGGGGGGGCAAAGTTTTCATATATGTATATATGTTGCCAAGATACCCAAACGTTTTAGTTGGAAAGCATTCTTAAAAAAATAGCAGCATCACTTAGCTTCAAGATACAAAAACATCTCAATACACAAATTTACTTTCTCTGTAACCACTGTATAACCAGGGTAAGTATACCACAGAGTTGCCTTCAAATAATCTTCAGATACAGGAAGAGTTTTGGGTATCCATAGAAGGTGAAGAGAAAGTAGAAGAAATTTTTTTTTTTTTTTTTTGAGATGGAGTCTTGCTCTGTCACCAGGCTGGAAATGAACCCTCCACCTCCCAGGTTCAAGTGATTCTCCTGCCTCAGCCTCCTGAGTAGCTGGGACTACAGGCGTGTGCCACCATGCCCAGCTAATTTTTGTATTTTTAGGGGAGAGAGGGTTTCACCATGTTGGCCAGGATGGCCTTGATCTGACCTCGTGATCCACTCACCTCGGCCTCCCAAAGTGGTGGGATTACAGGCGTGAGCCACCGCGCCCGGCCCCTAAATTATTGTTTAAAAACTAAGCATCAATAGGTGTCAGAACCTAAAGAGCCCCAATATGAAAGATGGACATCCAAGGTAAGTCCAACTATACCAGAAGCATCTAATTTGGCCCATGCTGAAGGAGCTAGGGTTGACTACTCTCCCCTGGCAGATCTTAGAATGACTCACACTCCAAACAGAATCCTATAGTCCATGAAATTCAAGGACCAGCCTCAACTCTGAGCTAAACTACAAATCTAGCTTTTCTAACACTTCAAGCTTAGAAAAACAAACCTTTGTATATTTATTAGGTTGGTGCCCAAGTAACTGTGGCTCTTGCCATTACGTTAAATGGCAAAACCCTCAATTACTTTTGCACTAACCTATCGTATGATTCAAAACAAATGCTGGACAAAAAAGAACCAAATCTTTTAAGAGGTAAAAATGAAAGTTGTCCCATAGGTGGTAGGGTTATGAACTCTATTTATGCCAACTGCTCCAATGTTAAAAACGTTTTAAGTCTTAACCACTCTCTAGGGATTTTCAGAGGTAATTACAAAAGGATTCAAGACAATCTTAAATTTTATATGACTTACACATGAATACTGAGGGGAAGGGGAAAAATCCACCTAATTATTATTTTTATATTCCCCAAATCATCCATTAGCTTCATTTATCTACTAAGCAAATATATCTCTGGCCTGGAAAAGAGACTACTACTTCCAAGGTCACACAGATAGCCAAATGACCTCTTGGAAACTGTGTGTTCCTGTTAATCAAGGGGTTTTGTAAATGCAAGATGAAATTGTTTCTAATGTCTCTCTTCCTGTTCCAACTTTCAAGGATTTTTGAATTTTCTGTATAAACATGCAAATTTGATACAAAATATTTCTCTTTTTCTAGAGTAATGTGTTGATAGTCTTGGTCAACCAAATTCAGACTGAAATGCTAAGTTTTGGGATAATTTCTTTTCTTGACAGATAAATGGTCTTATCAACCTATAATGGTGACAGCTAACACTAATAAGGCTCAGAGAAGACATATAAGTAATGACAGAATTAGAATCAAAACCCTGGTTTTCTTTTTGAGGGAGTCTCGCTCTTTTGCCCAGGCTGGAGTGTAGTGGCATGATCTCAGCTCACTGCACCTCCGCCTCCCGGGTTCAAGCAATCCTCTTCCTCAGCCTCCCGAGTAGCTAGGATTACAGGCACCTGCCACCATGCCTAGCTAATTTTTGTATTTTTAGTAGAGATGGGGTTTCATCATCTTGGCCAGGCTGTTCTTGAACCCCTGACCTCGTGATCCGCCTGTCTCGGCCTCCCAAAGTGCTGGGATTACAGGCGTAAGCCACCACACCCGGCCAACCCTGGTTTTCTTATTGCAATATATGCTCTTCATGCTATACTGATAGCAAAATTCAGTTGGAAGCAGACAGTAGATCAGGGCCTTTCAAAAAGTGATGAGAACAAAACACAGTATCTAGGTCTCAGGTCATCACTTGAAAAATGTCATCACTTCAAACTAGAAAAGAAAAATCCTTAATACCAAAGTTAGTTAACAAAGTGCTTCTTAACGTTTGATATAAAGATTCTTTCATTCTTTACTACAGCTTATTATCTTGACTCAAGTATCAGAAAAGTTTATAGGTAGCTCCAAATTGCGCTAATAAAGTAATTTTAGGTTTAATAAACAAGTATACAATGCTATTCAAAAAACTCAAGATTTTCAGCACTAGAATATATAACTAGTTCATAGAAAATGGCAGTGGACTAGAATAAAGTTGGAAGAGAAATGTATAAAATGAGGTTATATAATCCCCAAGAGAAATGGCCCTAAAAGTCTAACAAAAAAACAGTAATACTAGATTATCATCTGCAATTCCTACCTCTTTACCTGACACAACACAGCAAATGCTTGATAATTTTTTCACCTAAGCCTCAAAATTTCAAATCTAATATTGATCTGAATGAGAAGACCTAAGAAACAAGACATACAAATCAACTGCACTGTGGACTGAATTTGAATCCCAATTCAAATAACTTAAAAAAAGAGAGACAATTGGAATTCAAGTATTATTTAGATATTCAAACATTATTAGGGAATTACTGTTGATGTTTCTAGTGTGATAGTGACAGTTTCTTTTTATACATCTGCAGTATCCCAAGGACAATCACGACCTTTCATATTAAGTCATTTAAAAGAAGCAGCTAGGCAAAATAGACTTCCACTTGGATTCTGTAGACACCTGAGATTTTATAACTCAAGTTATTAATTTCCTACCATTATCTTTACAAATACGGAGGCAACTTGATGGGCAAGAAAATCATTCTTAAAGGAACTAAAACATGTAGAGCCTCAGTACACTTTTGATACTAACATTCAAATTTTAGTAACACAGGTAACATCAATGTGTATATTTTTTAGTTCTTAGTCTAATATTTCAGTTTCTGTAGTTTTCCTTCATATGATTTTAACAGTAGCTACTTATGAGAGCCTATGAATTGTGTTGAGAAAAAATTTTTAAAAGATGTATTTAATAAAAAAAAATATTCCTCAGAGTAAAACATAACCTCTTCAACCACATTCATCACTAATGATGCTGTTATATACTTACTGTCAAGTTGTCTCTCAGTAATTGCATTATTAGCGTGCTGTCTTTGTATGACTCTTCACTTAATGTATCAAGTTCAGCAATGGCTTCATCAAAAGCCTATGATTTAAAAATAGTACATTAGATTTCAGTGCTCAAGTAATAAAGACTGCTAAATTTCTATGTAACAGGTAAAATACATACTGTCTTTGCAAGAGAGCAGGCTTTCTCTGGGGAGTTCAGAATCTCATAATAGAACACAGAGAAGTTAAGGGCCAGACCCAGTCTGATAGGATGTGTTGGTTGCATTTCCTTTTTGCTGATTTCAAAAGCTTCTTGGTATGCTTGTTGTGACTGATCCACAATCCCTGGATAAGACACACCAAAACGTACTGAGATAAAGTGTGCATTGTATCTTCACCCCTCAAACCAAACCTTTAATATCTCAGGTATCCTTTGAAATACTAACCTGTAACAGCTTAATACTGGTTAATTGAACAAGGCCCTTTAATTTTTTTTCAAAGGGAGTTTTCTCCTGGTACACACTAGTCATCGGTCAATGTCAAGATAAAACAACTTTATAATCTCATTACTGTTATATTTTTTAAAAATTAACTAGTTTGCACTGCTCCTCAGTTACACTGTAACCACTATTTCTTTTTTCTTGAGACAGGGTCTGGGTCTGTCACCCAGGGTGGAGTGCAGTGGCACAATCAGGGCTCACTGCAGCCTTGATCTCCCAGACCCAAGTGATCCTCCCACTTCGGCCTCTAGATTAGCTGGGACCAAAGGCTTGCACTTGCACCACCATGCCCAGCTAATTTTCAAAACATTTTTTGTAGAGAGAGATGTTGCTCAGGCTGGTCACTTTTCTTAAAATCTTGAAAAAACATCCCTGTGCACAAAATTGGCTTTTCAGAAAGCATATATATTAGAATACCAGTATTAGGCAGTAGATATATATTCTCAGAACACAAAAAAAGCACTGCTACTCCTTATTCGGCACTCTAAGTAATTAAAAGTAAGAAATTATTTACGCTTCAGAGACTCTTCCTCACTATGTTATCTTATACAAGTTCAACCAACAGGTTTAAAAACAGCATACCTTTCTTGTCATCACCAGCGGCAACCTCAGCCAAGTAACGATAGTAATCTCCTTTCATTTTCAAATAGAAGACTTTGCTCTCTGCTTGTGAAGCATTGGGGATCAAGAACTTTTCCAAAAGAGACTTAAGAAGAAAAGAAACAGACATAGTGAGAATAAAACATTTACAAAACTGAAAGAACTTGCATTTTTTAAAGGACAAACTATAGCCTTAAGTTATACAACTTTAACACTCAGTCACTGTCAATACAATTGTGAATGCAGCTGGCACATGAATTTGTGGTTTAAAGCAGAATGCTTTGGGCAGAAATACTTTAAGTTTGAAGTTAGTGTTCAGTTTATTATTTGAGGACAATACAATTGAGTATCAGTCCCTGACAATGTCATCTATTTACATACTGATTTCAATGAATGTGAAGCATGACCATTCATATTTAGGAACATTTTCTAATGAGCTGGCAAGCTTTCCATCTGAAGTTTCATGTGTTCATGACATGAAAATAGAACATATGGGATGAACCTTTTGGGACTCTGAAGAAATGACTAAAGCAGAAACCAATAATGTAAGACACTTAAGGAGTCCATGCCAGAGAGAGAGGAACAAAATAAACTTCATTTATAAGAACACAATTCAAGCAAACCTCACAACAGATTAAAAAAACTGTTCAAAACGAAAGTTTCATTTTTCCTAAATTAAGACAGTGGTACGGGCCAGGCACGGTGGCTCATGCCTGTAATCCCAGCACTTTGGGAGCCCGAGGCAGGCAGATCACATGGTCAGGAGATCGAGACCACCCTGGCTAACGCGGTGAAACCCCGTCTCTACTAAAAAATACAAAAAATTGGCCAGGCACGGTGGCAGGAGCCTGTAGTCCCAGCTACTCGGGAGACTGAGGCAAGAGAATGGCATGAACCTGGGAGGCGGAGCTTGCAATGAGCCGAGATCACGCCACTGCACTCCAGCCTAGGCGACAGAGTGAGACTCCGTCTCAAAAAATAAATAAAAATTTTAAAAAATTTAAAAAGACAGTGGTAGGAGACTTACAGATCTTAAAAGAGCAGACCTTTAATAATCTCAATGACGTCATTTTCGGCTAGTAAGATACATGATTACAGATCATCCCAGACAACAGATAAAATTAAATCATCCTCCTATAAAATTCTGTCTAAAACTATTACTACAGTCTGAGTCATTTGATCAGGATTTTAAACATTACACTCTGTAATTGATTTTAAAGCAAAAAAAATTAGATCATTGTGTTGGGGATGGGAAGACTCAATAAATGTGTAATTTTTAAATTTTCAGTTAAGGGGGAGAAAAATAATTCTAGTAGTAGAATTAGGTAAACATTAAAACAAACAAAAAAACCCCAACCACCCATTCTCACTACCCTGCTTCCTTTAAAGTTCAAGTACACTCTGGGAATCAAGGTGAAGTCAATTTTAGTTGAGCTAAATTCCAAATAAATCCATACTTACAAAACAAAGTATGAGTATACATAGCACCTATTTATATGCAAAATATAAATTTGAAAAATGCTTTTAAATAGTAACTCTAACTTTGTGTTTACCCATTATGTTCCAATGGTGGGTAGGTGAACAGTTTTAACCCAACTTCTTCCCCCATTTTTTTTTTTTACAACTCAAGCTAGATAACCCAGATGAAGTGGCAGTAGGGCCAGATTGCACTGTGCTGTAAGAAAGGTTAAAGGTGAGAAAAGTCAACCTGAAATGATGTTTCCTACAATTATTAACTGATACTTAAAAATACTGGCCTGAGGCCGGGCGCAGTGGCTCATGCCAGTAATCTCAGCACTTTGGGAGGCTAGGGTGGCAGGATCACTTGAGGTGAGCCTCATCAGTATGGTGAAACCCTGTCTCTACTAAAAATACAAAAATTAGCCAGGGCACCTGTAATCCCAGCTACTTGGGAGGCTGAGCCAGGAGAACTGCTTGAGCCTGAGAGGTAGAGGTTGCAGTGAGCTGAGGTTGCACCACTGCACTGCAGCCTGGATGACAGAGCAAGATTCCATCTCAAAATAAATAAAAAATAAAAATAAAACTACTGGCCTGAAATCAGAAGAACATTTTGGTTAGGACAGCAACCTCTGTATTACACCACATTCATACTTTCATATTCAAAGTTCTCTTAGCTGCAAAAGTGTTTTGTCCTTTGTATACAATGCTTTTTACCACCTATGGTTGCTCTCTGGAGATCTGCCTCAAACACTGGAAAAGACTTGCATTTAAAATAGTCAGGTGAGTCTTTCCACTTAAAAACAATATTTTAAGAAACAAATGACCAGGGTTTTCAAAAGTTTCATTGTTATACAAATTGTATTATTCATTCAACTATGGGAGATGGTATAAACATAGTGGCTCTGGGGTGAGTCTGGATTTGAATTACAGCACTCAACACTGTGAACTACTTCATCTCAATGATTCAGTTATCTCAACTGTAAGGCAGAGACCTCTAAGATTGTTGAGAAAAAATACAGGTAAGCACTTAGGAGTAAGCACTCATTATCTATTATCACAGTAACACCAGACACTACGCTAGAAGCTGGAAGCTGGAAGCACAATATTCTGGTACTTCATAATCTAGCTGTAGAAGCAAGGCTATCATTCCTTCCAGTACAATACACTTTAAAACAATTATTGCAGGGCACGGTGGCTCACTCCTGTAATCCCAACACTTTGGGAGGCTGAGGTGGGAGGATCACTTCTTGAGACCAGGAGTTTGAAACCACCCCAGTGAACATAAGATCCTGCCTCTACAAAAAAATTTAAAAGTTAACCAGGTGTGGTGGCACACTCCTATAGTCCCAGCTACTGGGGAGCTGAGACGGGAGGATCGTCTGAGTCCAGGAGTTTGAGGCTGCAGTGATTTATAACTGAATTGTACCACTGTACTCTAGGACAGGGTGACAGTGAGACTGTCTCAAAAAAAGCAATACTGCCTAATCACGTCTTTCACTTTTCAGTAACTTTAACCCCCTCTATGTATGTAGAGATGAAGGCCATAAACACGTGCAGTTACTTAAGAGTGAACCAATCACTGAAGATGTAAAATTTTAAAGCTATACTAAAAACTTAAGTTTTTACGGAAAGGTGTTGATAAATGCTACTAAAATGAGTAATCTGTCTTTTGTAGGTAGTAATTTTGGAATCCCTACATGTTTTATTTTACACTGGGGTAATATGCTGAACTACTTTAAGTAGTTCCCTGGGAATTAAAATGGCAGTTAAGCACTTCTTTCCCCAAAGTTGAACACCGAATTAACCATAAAACAACTTTAAAGCTATTTGTTAGAACCCACAAGTAACAGAAGAGTTGGGTAAACAGCAGTCAGGCTGCTTATTGGCCCAATGATAGACCAAAAGAACCAAACAAGTGGCAAGTGTTTCTGGTGAGATGCTGACCATAAGAGCTGAGAAAGGTGGCTGGGCATGGTGGCTCACACCTATAATCCCAACACTTTGGGAGGCCAAGGTGGGTGGATCACGAGGTCAAGAGATCCAGGCCATCCTGGCTAACACGGTGAAACCCCGTAAATATAAAAAATTAGCCGGGCATGGTGGCGGGCACCTGTAGTCCCAGCTTCTTGGCAGGCTGAGGCAGGAGAATAGCGTGAACCCGGGAAGAGGAGCTTGCAGTGAGCCGAGATCGTGCCACTGCACTCCAGTCTGGGCGACAGAGTGAGACTCCATCTCAAAAAAAAGGAGTTGAGAAACGCATAAATGGCGTACTTCTAATAAATCGTCCAATGATATAAGCTAATTAAGATTTAAAAACCAAAAACCAAGCAAGACTGGATTAAAGATTAAATTTAAAGGGGCTAATACTGTAGCTCAAAAAAAGCTAACTATAAAAGAACATTTTCTGCCAGGCGCGGTGGCTCACGCCTATAATCCCAGCACTTTGGCAGGCCGAGACGGGTGGATCACCTGAGGTCAGAAGTTCAAGACTAGCCTGGCCAACACAGTAAAACCCCGTCTCTACCAAAAATACAAAAAATTAGCCAGGCGTGGTGGTACATGCCTGTAATCCCAAGTACTCAGGAGGCTGAGGCAGGACAATCACTTGAACCCAGGAGGTGGAGGCTGTAGTGAGCCGAGATTGCACCATTGCACTCCAGTCTGGGCAACAAGAGTGAAACTCCAAAGGAAAAAAAAAGAACATATTCTCAGCCTCAATGGGATGATATGCCTACCAGAAAGGATGTGATTCCACAATCAGGAATCAAAGTTATGGCGAGTATACTAGAAACTGTCAGGATAATGGAAAGAACAGGACATGAATGGCTCCAAGAGACAAGACCAATTAAATTTAGCAAGAGGGAAGATTTCTGTTCAGTATGAGAAAACTTATGAGTGATCCAGTACTGGAACAGGTCACCTGCTCAGTGAATGCCCTCTTTTCACATAAAGGTATAACAAGAAACTAAAGAGGATAACTTGGGTTATTTTGTAGAGGGGATTCATAAATGTGATCTGTTTCTTTTAAAAAAATTTTAATTGACATAATAGTTGTACATATTTTGGGGGTACATGTGATATTGATACATGCATACAATATATAATGATAAAATCAGAGTAACTGGGATATCCATCACCTCAAACACTGATTTTTTTTTTTTTTTTTTTGAGACAGAGTCTCGCTCTGGTGCCCAGACTGAGGTGCAGTGGCATAATGTCAACTCCCTGCAACCTCCGCCTCCCAAGTTCAAGCGTTTCTCCTGCCTCGGCCTCCTGAGTAGCTGGGATTACAGGCGTGTGCCACCACACCCGGCTAACTTTTGTATTTTTAGTACCGATGGGGTTTTGCCATGTTGGCCAGGCTGGTCTCGAACTTCTGATGTCAGGTGATCCACCCGCCTCAGCCTCCCAAAGTGCTGGGAATACAGGTGTAAAGCCACTGCACCCGGCCTCAAACATTGATCTTTTATTTGTGTTAGGAGCACTGCAATTTTTCTAACTACTTTGGTAGAAGAAATAAATGTTAACTATAATTTCCCTGTTGTACTATCAAATACTAGAACTTATTTCTACTAACTGGATTTTTGTACACGTAGTCTTTTTCAATTCTAAGGGAAGACAGAGTTCACAGAATTAGGTTAATGG